GCAGGAGCCAGGGAAAAGCTGTGGTACTATGCTGGGAGCTGAAGTGCCAGCACCACAAAACAGAAGTGGAGACAGAAGCTTAAGCCTCCTTAACTACCTCCTGTTTTCCCTGGTTTTGGCCAGTAGCATCTCTCTATTTGGGCTCCCTAATCATCGGTGTTGTGAGCAATCTTGAAGCTTTGTGCGTGTTCTGCAAAATAGTCTGGCAAACAGGCAAAAGAAAATTGAGCAAAGTCATTTATGTGCCATCTCCAAAAAAAAAAAAAAAAGTCAAGCCTATAATGTGTACATACAAAGATTCTAATTTATTATATAATATTTTTTCATTTACAATAATGTTTTAGATGAAAATATATACCTGATATAAATTAATGCAATTTTTTTTGAGCCCAGTGGCATCATTTTTTGACACTTTAGACGTGACTTTTTCCTCTTGCAATGTCCCTTTAGCAAAAAATAAGACTTTTGAGTTGGATTTGTCAAGGTCAGCAGTGCATTCTGTGAAGTTTAAAAGACACTGCTAAAGCGAGTACATCCTTGTATTACCAGTTAGGCCTACTTGGATTTTTAGGAATGTAATGGCTGCAGCTGCAGATGCATTTTTGCTATCTGTGCATGTTAAAAACAAAAGAGGTGCATTTTTTATGCTTAGCTGCATGCACATTTTTGAAAATATAGAAACTAGGGGTTCTGTGAAACACCGTGGAAAATGTATATCAAATGCAGAAACCCCCAAAAATTATTGTTAAATATATCTAAATTCAGTAATTTTTTTTGTCTATTTTTTTTTTATTTGATAATAATGAGGAAGATTGATGGCTGAATATGATCAGATACACTTCCAAATGTGTGAAAAAAATCCAGCTATGGCAAAATGAGTTCAATTCAAGTTTATTCTTAGATGCTTAAGTTAACACATGAATTCAACCTCAGTACATTAATTTGTGATACTTAAAAACAGTTAGTGTGTTTTCTTTTATTTGCTGTTTGGCTGAGCAGATGGTAATGGTTTTGACACAATTCAGTTTTTTATTTTTCTTCTTTTCTTTTCTTGAAAAAGACAAGGCTCTTTTTCCCACTTTGTCACAGCTGGTTACCAATCAATCTCAATTCACAGTACAGTGATGATAGCACATGTTGTTCAGGGGCCAAATCTGATTGGGTTGCATTTTCAGCAGTGTTTCATATCAAAAAAAAATTCTGTCTGTATGGCAGTGACTGTCAGCACACTATTGTACAACTGTCATTAATCAGAACTAGCAACAATGAATGCATTCATATGTGCCAGAGACTGCCAGATTTCACTCAAAATCACCCAATTCCTATTAGAATTTCCTCACCAGCAGTGTTTTCTCATATGCCTCTTGTTTCTCTCTTTCTTTTTTCCTTGCCAGTCCCCTGCCAGCCCCTTCCTCTTCGCTTAATTAAAGGCAGACCTGCTCTATTACTTGTAGAACAGAAATTATGTAACGTGGTGCCCAAAAGTGGCTAGTTTATATCTGGCACAGACTGACTGGCTGTTTAAAAGACCTCTTCCAGCTCAGTCTGATGGCTGGAGTCTAAGCTGCACCAAAAGGTTAAGCACCTCCAAATGTTTAACAAAGAGAAGTTCTTAAAATTAATTAGATGTCCTAAACATGTGAAACTGATGTCTGACACCCTGTGGTTTTATCTCAGTGCTGCACTAATTGGGTAGGATCAGCAATATTTGGGCAGTATGTCACAAGTTGTTCCTTGACTACACATATTTTGAAGACACAGCCTTCTTCATGTACTGGCAACGTTAAGGAGCAATTTAACCACTGCACCCTGGTTTTCTGCCATCCTGTCATCAATTCAGGAGCCTGGTAAACGCTCTCTGTGATTGGTATTAGGAGAGAGGACCCTGCTCCTCATTCAAAAGCACTAATCCAGATGAGAGTGAACTTCCACAGAAAATGAGGTGAAAACACCTTGCCATGGGGATTTGAGGCTCTAGGACAGAGAGGAGACAAGGCACTGTTCAAGGCTGAGCAGGTGGATACTTGATAAATTTAAAAGATGTTCAGTCTTAATTCCTTGTTATTTTGTTTGTGTTGCTGTGGGTCAGGCTAAAAGCCAGTTTTCCTCCTTTCTCCTTCCTGCCTGCTTCATCTGCCAAAGCCCTTCACTGAACTGTGGTGACTTCTGGGGACAGTGGGTGTGGAACAGATGACTGACGGGCAGCATATCAGTACTGCAGGACAGCAGATGGTTCTAGCACCCCACGGGTCCATCCATGTATGAATCTAATTGCTAGATGGCACCTTCTCTCAGGGTGCTCCAAAAGTATTGCCTGTTGGAGAAGCAGACTGGGAGAGATGAACCTGTCCTTGAAGTAATTGTTAACTGGACCATGACAGCGACGTGTCTACGCCACCCTCCGTTTGGTGACCCAAGCGGGAGCTGATGGCTGTGCCCACCACCCTGCGTCCTGGCATGCCATGCAGCTGGCTCCTCCACCCAGCAGCCTTGGCACAATGTGCATGATTGGCAGGTGCAGGGATAAAGGCTGCTGGAGCCTCGGAGGCAGCTGGCTGGCATGCTGGCACCAGCACATCCGTGACAGGAAGCAGAGTGAGTCAGCTGCAGCCCACAGCAAGCTGGAGCTCCCTGTCCCAGCCTGCCTGCATCCCTGTTCAGGCAGCCCCTCTCTCAGATACAGTCCTGCTGCCTGGCTGTTTTGTTCTGCCCAGCATAAAGTGAAACAGTGATGCTATCTGTTGTACAAAGGGAAAAAAATCAATTACGTAGATGGCTAATTGTTGCCCAGCTTTATAGCCCTGATTCCGATATCCAATTCATGTTTATATGACAACTGATCTTAGTTTTCTCATTGTACAGGAGTTGAATACAAATTTTTATTTTCAGCCTCCTAGAGCTGGCCTCTTGTCAAGAAAATAAGCATTTGCTCTTGTCTCTGCAATCACCAAAGACAAATCGTTGCGGGATAATGTCATATTCTTGAGATTTTTAAGGGGGCCAATTTGCCTTTTCTGTCTTATGAAAACAGTGATTTTTATTTACCGTTGACTAATGCAGCACAGCATGCAAAATGACATAATTTGTGAGCAGTCTAGAAAAAATGTTCTTTAGTGGCTGTTGAATGTAGTTGTAATAGATGTGTAGTTCTCCAGAAAGTGCATATTAAGTTCTCTAATATCATAACTACCTGCCCCCTCACCACTACCAATGGCACTATGCTGGCAAAAAAGCTATCCCTACAAGTTTCTAAAGTCTGCCATGTCATCTACTTATTCTTCCCCTTGGCATATCTCTTATTAATCAGTTTAATCTGAGGTACTGCATATACATACAATTAAGTGTAACTCCTAAGGAAATGGGTATTATATGTGCTTATGTTAACTCTAGCAGAATGGTTAGCCTCAAATTCATCTTTAATAAATTATTTCTTGCTAATTGATAGAATGGACCTACTGAATATAGAAAGAAGTTGTATTGTGGTGTGAAAAGATGTCTTGACTTCTCTTTGTTCTTGGAAGTGCTAGGAATACTGTAATTGATGTTGTGAGCTTTAGTTAGACCTAACAGAAATTTAAATGTTTCACCATATGGGATCTTTGAGTTAAGATGCTTTGAAGTCTGTTAGAACACAGCACTCTCTCTCCAAACCTATACTAAAGGAACCAATAGCAATGTACATTATGTACACAAAAAAAGTTAAGTTTCATGTTCCCAAAGGATCTAAAAATGCTCATAGAGCCTGACAACATTCCTCTGATTTGTTGCATTGCATTCTTATTCATCCAAACATTTAAGGGTGCTCTCCCATATGATTTTAATGTATTTCCTGTGCAAGGCTATAAGGCCTTTACTGCGTAAAAAAAGAAAGTAAATGAGTCCTTCTAAAATTATGTCATGACTGTGTATACAGTGAGAAATAGCTTTGACACCTCCTGAAGTCTAGACCTGTCTTCAGTTTTGTGTTCTTGTTTCACTGATACGTGTGAATCTGAGGCCAAGTCTAGATTCAAGGTGACTTAATGTGTGACATCGAGAAGAAATGTTGAAAATATTTTAACAAAATGATATTGAAAGGGTAAACTATCTATGCTGATAACCAGGATTTGGGAACCAAACACATTTTCTACAACATGAAATATCCTGTTGACTTTAATGAGCTTTGGATCAGAGCCTAAAATACTTTGTTAGGCATGACTTTTGCAGGATAATAACAATTTAACTGAAAAAATTTTTCTGGGTATAATCAATCTAAATGCCTTGAGAATAAAAGTTCACTGCATGTTGGAGTACATTGTGTTAATTAAGTTTTATACATTCTCATAGTTTTAGAATTATTTCAGCAGTAAAAACAAAGAAATGGACAAAGCACAATTGAATTGTTTCTAATTTCTTTTAAGAAAGAGAAAATGTCATTGTCCACCTTTATTGAATTGTTTTGTTGTATTTCTGTGAAACTGATAAATCTACTTTAATGTGCCTCTTCAATAAATGTCACCTTCCAGAGCCTGAATATATTTTTTATTGTTTGCAATTGGGTAGTGTGAGATCCTACCAACACGCTCACCGTTCCCTAAGGGATTGCAGCTGTAGGGGAAAACTGTATATAAAAGGAAATTTCAAAATCAGCAAAAGGTAAAAACATGTAGCTCACATAGTTAAAGGCATGATAAACCTGAGCTGTCATGCATTGATAACTGATGTCTGATACCTTAATTTTGTCTTATTGCTCTAGATCAAGGACAAAGTGAATTATATTATTAATAAAGCCCTAATACTGAACATAGCAATACTAATTTTATGTAAAGTTTCTAACTAATGCAGAGCGCAATAAAAGTGTCATGAAGATTAATGCTTTGTGGAATTATCTAATGCTGGATAATACTTTATCTTCTAAAGTTGGCTCCCAAGATAGATTTAGACTGGCATTTTCCAGGTGATAGTTTTTGTCCATTTCTGTTGCCCACAGAAAGAGTTCTCATTCTTTTGCTGTGACACAGGTATGACATCAAAGACGACTACACCCTGCGCATCAAGAAAGCCATGAGCACAGATGAGGGAACCTACACCTGCATCGCTGAGAATCGGGTTGGAAAGGTGGAAGCCTCTGCCACGCTCACCGTGCGAGGTGAGTGCTCCCACAGGGGCAGGGCCTGTGTCCTACACGGATAATTGCTTTCTGGTGAGATGGGCCACAGCCTTCCCTGCCATTCTTTGGCTTCCACACACCCCTTGCCATGGTGGCTGCCACACTGATCCACAGCGCAGGTGAAATCCTGGTCCTGGTGATATCTCATGCAAAATTTTAATTGATTTCAGTGGATAAGATCCCCCAGCGATTAAAGTCCTGTCCCAATGTGTTTTTATTGAACATATTTATTGATGCATATATGCATAAGCAAGCACTACATAACCGTGGACATAGGCATTAATATGTGAGCCATCAGTCCAGGCTATTAGTCACATTTCTTTCTCTAAGAAGTATAAAGAGTAACTATATTTATTAATGACAAACATAATACAGATAATATTATTGCGGGATTAGCTCTGCCATAATGAAGCTCTCTACCACTAGCCTTTATCCAAAAAATAAGCCATAGCCAAAGGAAAGAGAAAATCCTAATTAATTTTTTTTAAGTGCTACAAGGTAAAATCTAACTATTATCTCCTAAAATATTTGTGGTCTCTAGTATGCACTCACTGTTATGTGCTGCTCTTTGATTTGGTAAGGAGGTTTTAAGGCTGGTGGAATAATGAGTTGCCAAAATATCTTCGTGTCAGTAGATATAGACATTCTAAAGATTATGGGGAGAGAAAAAGTTTGTAAGCTAATATTTCTATCTGAGTAAATAGAATATAATAGTTATTACTTCATTCCAAAAGATAAGCAGCAATTTGGCACAATGGATACCATGCAGACACTATTTCACAGTTTAGTGGTGCATGCTGACGATTTTCAGTAGAGCTGTGAAAGGTTAATAAAAACATTTTTAGCTTTATCTGTCCTCCTCTTTTCATACACATTAAATCAAATGTTCAAAGTCTCAATGGATTGCTTTATTAGAACTGGGGTCAACTGACCCAAGAGGCCAGCTTCCATTTCCATCCATTTAATGCATGGACACAGTTCAGTTTAATTTGCTGAATTCAAAGGGAAAAAAAAAAAAAAAGTCACTGAGTGGCTTTGTAGGGAGGGGGAGATGAGATGTTAGTATGTAACAAAGAAAAGAGAGTGATGTGATAATCTGTTGAAATATTACCTCAGTGTTCACTTTAGACTGTGACAATATGGCTCTTCCCATTTTAAGTTGAAGAAATAGGTGTGTAAGAGATTGTTCTTCCCTTTTGTAATATGGGAAAATCAGTCACCACAGCCAACTCCCAGAAACAGTCTCACTCTGTTCCTTTGTCACAGGCAGGATCACAGAGTCCAGTAATTCTGGTTACCAATTCCCTGGCCTTTAAACACTCCTAGAACTGTGTCCACTGTGTACATGACTGGAGCAATACTTTCAGATTTGCTGCCATGACTTGTAACATAAACAACAACTAGAACCCAGCAAAAAAATCCTTTGTAATCACCGAAGCTTGAACCCAATGAAATTAAAGGGAGAAAAACTCAAGGAAATGTGTAATTTAATTGATTTTTCCCCCAGTAAAAGCATGTTTTCATTATCTTGCGTATTTTTCCCCCTGGGTTTGTCATTTACAGTCAAATACATAATGTTTATTCAATACAGAGGAAGCCATGGTATTAGAAACATACAACATGTTCAGGATTTGATGGAAAATGAGAAAAAAATGAGAAAAAAACAAGAAACTCATTGGAGAAAACTATTAATCTAAATTTTGTGAAAACAAAGGACGGAGAAATCTCCCTTTGACTTTAAAGAGATGATGAACAATAGACTTCTTAAAGAAAGCCTTAATTCTGAATTCTTAATTAACAGTGTTGTCTGACACTGGTTTTACCATGTCATGTAAAGGAGCAAAACCTCTTAGCATTTCAAAATTTACCTTGAGAGTGTCTTGGACCTTGCAGGTGTCATGTAGTTCTTTCTGCACACCTGACAACAACCACGTAATCCTTAGCTCCCTCATTCACATCTCCATCTTCTTAAACAGGAGGATGGGGATGCAGTCAGGAAAATTGCATTACACTGTCACAAACAGCAGCAGAATCTGACTTCTGTGACCCAGACTCCGTGTTCTCTCTTGGAAAGATGCATATCACTCTTATACCTCATCTTTCTGCAGGAGAAGGAGTGTGTCCATAATACTGGAAGCCAAAAAGTGTTCCAACAGATGATGGGTGAGAACAGAAACTAGACTAGACACAGTTAAATAAAATGGGGACAGAGCCATGGGAAGGTTGAGAGCCAAAAAGGCCCTTGCAAATTCTGTTACCTCTGAATTTGCATGTCTTACATTTGACCCTAGCCTGTACATAAGCACACAGAGCTGGTAATCTTCTTAAAAATAAGAAAAAGAAAAAAATTAATCGTGCCGTTGCTCAGAAATGTGCAATTATTGCTGCTGATAAAATAAGGGAAGCTTTGCCTACACAGATCCAACCTGGAGTCAATTTTATGTCCGAATTTTCAGCTCTTCTGAAAGAGATGTCTATATTTTATTAGCAGAGGGACTGACAGCTCTCTTCCCCAGCACAAGTGTAATGAAGGGCTGTTGCTATAACCAAGAAATCACTTGTTGCAACGGCAACTTTCAATCTCTATATCAGCCTGAAACAGTATTAACCTGTCAATCATTTAACAGCAATTTTTTAGGAAGTAGAAGTTACCTTAAGAAGTAATTTGGGAGGTTCTGGATTGAAGTCCCTGTGGCCATTTCAGCCCATTTGTTATATTTTCATCAGCACTGTCAGTGATGAAAAACCACTGTGCTGTAAGCTCTCATGCCCATTATTGAATGAGAAAAACTGTCCTGGGCTTTCTGTAGCCCTTACTGTTATACTGATTGGTCATGCTTAAAATTCAGTTGGTATTTGACTCAGAAAGCAAATGCCTTGCGTGACATTAGGCAGTGTGAGGCTTAAATTGATGTGTTCATTGGGATCTAAAAGTTTGTGCTAATGCAATGCAATTTTTCTTTTATCAGGCATTAACGATGATACTTGATGATGGCATGCGAAGATAATAAAAATTTTTCTCAGAGAATGGTTTCAGTCAGCTTGTTCAGATGCTGTGCTCAAGCAAATGGGATGATAGTGGCACGTGACTAAACAATAACAGCAGTGAACATTTGCCTTAGGCTGCCATTTGAGGGGTTAGCAATCATGGTAGTATCCATAGTGGAAAGTAACATTACACGTCATGCATTCTGACAGATATTCTTTTCTTTTTTTAATTTCCTTTTTATGTTCTCACTACACCATTGTAATGTCAACAGCTCGCCCCGTTGGTAAGTAACCATCCTTCTATCCATTTTAGCATGGCTTCATGCAATGCTTCATCTTTCATTTGCAGCAGCATTTCACTGGCTGGAATAAGCAGCCAGCGCTTAATAGCTGTAACTGTCTAACACCAGGCAAGCGGTTTTGTCTGACAAAGTGCTATTTCCAAACGTTGTATTTCCTACTGTGTCATGTACGAGCACATTTGCCAAATCACCACCAAGTGCTGATCAGTGAAACGGGGTGGGTGTGCCGGTACCAAGCCAAAATCACTCATTTAGATGTTTTTATTGGTCTGGTTTTGGGCCTGGTGTAACAGCCACTGAAATCAACAGAAAGGATTGTGTTGACTTTGGTGAGCTCCTCCCAGGCCCTAAACAATCAGCACATCCTGCTTTTCCTGCACAGCAGTAAAAGCACAGGCTTTGCACGTCCCGTCTTTCTTGTTCGCTCAAAGAGTTCTGAAATGAAGAAGCCCTGGAATTGAAGAGGGGATGGAGTTGATTTCTGTGCTTGCTGATGAAGTTCATCACTGATTTCTGCCCTTGGGTCATCTTGGAGTGCAGTTTGGAGCGCACTGTATAGGATGCAGATAGTTTTGAACAACCTCTAGGTTTTTAATTCTCACACTTAAAATGTTATTATTTCCTGTGCCTTTGAAATTCCATAAATGCATAAAAATCTTACTGAGGATAATGGAAAATTTGCAAGTGTCAGCAGCTGAAATCCACTTCTGCTGTTCAGAAGTATCCCGAATGTACGAGTCAATTTTCTTTCATGAATATTTACTCTGTGCCTACATGGATTTAGTTTAATGAGCTGCATTGCTCCTCTGATATTTGTAGTTTGTATTTAAATGTATCTTTTAGAATAATAATATGGTTACTCTGATTTTTTTGGATTAGCGTAAAAAGTCAGTACTGGTGTTTATGGAGATTAATGAGGGGTTTGGTCTTAGCCAAAACTTTTGTTAGATACGTGTTTGACTAAAGTTTGTGAGTTTGAATTCATCTCAGCTCTTTGCTGTTCTAAGTTTGGAGGAAGCAAGATTGGAGTAATTTAAAGATAAAATCCAGGTTAGGCCTCTGTCTCCAGAACTAGGGTGATCCCATCTTATTAACTTGCTTGAACTAACATCCATGGAACCAAGCCAGATATCTCCACAGTCATAGCATAGCTTATCCACACCTGGAGAATTCCCTGTACAGAATAGAAATTTACTCTTCTCCGTCTGGGATTTTGATAGCAAGCTTTAAACCCAAATCACTACTGTATTATTTTGGCATTAGGCTGATTCTCAAGTAATTCGTTCCCAGGAGTTGCATAAGTGTAAAACTGCAGTAAACTTGTGAGAAAATTTTCCTTTGCTTAGAAAATGTGGTGTGAATTTAGTGTGCTCCTTCATTCACTAAGAAATGCCACAAGATTTAAAGTATTCTGCTTGTAGATTTATTTTTTTTTTTGTCATTTTGCTGACTCTTAAAAGACAGGCAAGGAAAAAAAATCATAAAGAACAGACTGTTTCAAGCTCTGTGAAAACGACATAAAATAAATGATTGGAGATTCACAAGAAAATGATAGGTTTCAGCAGTCTTGATAGTGTCTCATTTCACAGCACTGATTCTTTTTTAAGATTTTTCAGGTGGCTCTCCATTGAGTCATCCCTGATTCCATCTCCAAAGCTTATATAGCAGGTCTTGGGCTCAAGTTACTTTATGTCCAGGTATATGGTTGTGTGAATGTGCAGTGGTCAATTCCACATATTCCCTGCCTAGGCTATTTTATTTTGTTGAAATTGAGCAACTGTGACAGAGAAATTAATTCTTCTACAGATTTTATTCAGGAAACTGAAATTAGAATGGTTGATATTGAAATAATTACTATATGGGCACATGGTCTTTATCAAATTATTTATTTTAGTGATAATCTTTGTGACTTTGTGAAAGTAAATAAGTCTAAACCTGAAGATGTTTGACATAGAACTCCCATACAAGTGTACGTGGGGATTGCTGTGTAAAAGCAGATCAGAGCCAGCCACTTTTATCTAATCCTGTACCTGTGGAAAGACAGTGATAGTTGTACCTGTATTGGCTTTTTTTGTTTAATTACCTGCAATAAAACTAGTTTCTGCAGTTCCTATCTCTATTTCATTCAAGACTAGGCAAAGAAGGTGACTACCCATCCTTTATGAAAATTTAAAGTTTGGCAAGACAAACCAAAGTAACTTCCCCCTCCACCGAGAAACCCAAATAATCTTCTGTTAAAATTGCTGTTTAACAAGAGCAGTGAGTCAAATCTTGTAACATTTTTTTGTTCAGGAAATTAACTGGAATGCAGAGCAAAAATACCTCTCCTTACCTAAAGAAAGCTAAAGAAAACACTACTTCATGTAATTAGTTCACAGCTTTCTAAGAGGATGACATTTTAATAGAAGTATATTTGTATATTTATGTATATGTTAAAGTGCAGGGAAGCACTTAAAAGTTTATATTCTGTCATGACACCAGAAAATTGTCTAGGTACTTCTATCTTCCATCACCATCTCTAATTCAAAACAGATATGTTTTGTCTTTATTAGGTTTTAAACAAGACCAAACAAATTTTTTTTCCAGTGAAGAATAGAGAAATATATTTTTAATAGTTCAAATTTGTATTTCTTATTGCAAACAGAATAATTTTCATTTTCTAGTCAGTTTTCTTGTCAGGTTTTTTTTCATATTTGTACTCTGTTAGATGTGATATTTTTATTTAAGTTCAGCTTCAGTGAAAAATTCAGGAATGGGATTACCAGTGACCATCTTTGGTTCAAGCACTTATTAACAAATGGTTACACAGATATGGGCTATACAGATAAAATGAGGCATGGTGCTGCCCGAGGTGGGTGGCAGCTGGTGAATTTAAAAGCTCTATGCCAGATTACTCATCATGTTTGAATTTGCTGCTAGGAATAAATGTGTTGCCTGTTTCTAAAATAGATTATTTATAACCTTTTGAAAAGATTTCTGACAGGATTTACAACAGATGGGTTTTGGAAACAAGATATTTATCCCTATTTAGACCATTTCTACAGTTATTTCACTCATTAGACAGATTTTCCAGATGAGCAAGTTAGAATTTTCTCATTTTTGCATTCTGCTGTATTTATTATGGCAGTTGGGCAGGAGCATAGCTGCTGAAAGAAGCACAATAGTTGGGAAGAGCCCAAAAGTTTCAGTAACACTGACCCTCTTTTCAAAGGCAATTGCTGTACTGCTTTGAGATGGAGGACTTCAAATGGAAGATCTATGAAGATCTGTCTGATGTCCCAGTTATGTTTTTTTATTCATACAAAAAATCATTCAGATGACAGAGTACTGCTCAGTTCACAAATTAATTTCAGCTAAGTGAAAATACAGTTCTTTACTTGTCAGTTGCTTTGCAGTTAGTCAGGTTTAATTAGTTTTTTGTCATGTGCTGTGGCTCATTTTCCCAAAAAGAAGAGACTTGCAGCAAATACCTGGGTACTTTTGCCACCAGGACAGAAGTGAAGGATTTTTACTTAGTTAAGGAACTAAAGGGAGACCAAGTACAAAAACTGAACTTCCCCATCATGATGGTGAAGACACAGACAGCTAAGACACCTGCCATGAATTTTCCAAATTTCCTTTCAATTAAAGGCAGTCTATTGGCATTTAAGTGCAATATGACTGCATGATGCATTTCAGTCTGCGCTGGGAAGTTTCCATGACATAAATCAGTCTGGCATGACTTAATGGTCTGTTAAGAGTGGTGCAGCATGAAAAACAAAAGAAAGGCCTGTATTTTATAGAAAGTTGTATTAGGTTTTGTGACATTACTCAGATGGTTCAGATTGGTGAGAAAGAATTCTCCTTCTTCTTCTTCATTCTGACTCTAGCAGGGAAAGTCTATATACAATGAATACTTTTATTTTTATTACGTTCATGAACACATCACCTTCACTTGAGACACCGAAGATTTATGAAGTGTCAGTAATGTGGATTGGTGTGTGATGGGAGAGATGAGATCATGCTTGGTGCTACAATGCCATCATTCAGTTACACTAATCTCAGCTTTATATCAAAATGTGCTATCTTCCCTGTGTGGTACCACTTACAGAAATTTTCAGGAGAGGTTAAGGACAACAGTGGTCATTGGGCTTTTTGGACTCGTTAAATGAAAGAGTAAGGCATCATTACTTTTTTAAAAGTCAGAAATTCTTCAGATTTAAAGATAGAAGGTTGCTGTAGAATGAAATTCAGATTGTTTTGTATACCAATAAATATGGAGATGACTTGCTAGAATTTCTTGTAGCCTATAAATGCCACTCTAAAAATCTTGAAGTCCTTAGCATACCTGCTTTGCCTTAAATTCAAGTAAAAAGGAAGTAAAGGAAGTGATCAATAGTCCCATTATTTTATCTGGTTTTTTAATTGCTGAGCTCAAGCTTGGGGAAGTTTTAAGAAGTTTAATGCATAACTTTTATTTTTTAACTTTCAAAGTTTCTCAAAGAATTCTCAAATCAGTGTGAATTGTTTTCCTATTTCATTGGCTTCTGAATTCTGAGTTTATTCATAAGTCTTTGAAGTTTAGTGTATAAAAAAGGTCTGTTGATGTGTTGCTCTCCCCAAGCTTTTCCCTTCCTTTCAGTAAAAGGAGTAATTGGTTACCTTTCCTTTGAGAGGAATGTGGAAATCAATACATGAATCTGCACTTTCTTTGCTCTATTGCTGCCAGCCAATTTACAGCTGGGATGTGATCTCAGTGTTACTCAACAGCAGAACTACTGTGTGCCCTATTCCTAGAATGTTAACACTGTCACTCAGAATAAATAGTAATTTTTCTTCCTCTCTCCTTTTTCTTTCTTCGTTTATCAGTGTCTCAAATTGAGCAGAGTGTCTTTTCTCACCCTTATTTATTCTCAAGGGTAAACAAACCAGGAATTTGTCACCTTTCTTGCTGTAGCTTATGTGCCTGTGCAGGCACTTTGCCCCTCTCATCTCCTTAGCTC